GGTATGGGGGACCCAATCATGTATAAGGTAATTGGGAGCTTATATTCTGGCTCAAGTAAGACACACTGAAGGGCCTAAACAAAGGTAGTAGCGGAGAGATTTCATAGGAGGAAACGGATGCTATAATAATCATGACAATACTAGCCAATAATAGTAACAGTGTTTATTACCATTATTGAACAGCTCACGTGGGCTGCCTGTGTCCATTGTCCACCCAGTACTCAGAGTGATTCCCATAACCCAGCTCTGGCCATGACTCTTAACTCCTTCCAGCGACGTTCCCTCTCACTCAGCGCCACCTGTCCCTGAGACAAGGTACAAAGCCCGCCAGGCTCTGGGCCTGGCTCATTAGGTGGCTTTAGGTCCCTTTCTGCCTCAGGGCCTTGTCTGTCTGGAATGTTCTTCCCTGTATAGTCCTACCGCTCATTCCCTCACTGCTGCCAAGTCTCTGTTTAAATGCCTTTTCAGCGAGACCTTCTCTTGCCAACCTGCATGACATCTGTGGAATGTTCTATTCCCTTCACCTTCACTTACACGTCTCCTTAACAATGATGGCCTTTCCCACACACGTTCTGTTGGTCATTAACTCTATGAAGGCAGGCTCGTTGTCACTGCCGTATTCTGGAACAGTGCGAATACAGCAATCTATTCAATAAGTACGTATCCAATGCCTGAATGAAGGCTTGTAGTGGCCCCATGAGATCAGTACTGCTATTTTTCTCCTTTTCTGATGGAAAAACAAAATCGTGGAAGATTTAATGGAAGTTTCTCTGTCTGGTAAGTGGCAGAGCTGCAATCTGTATGGTGTAAAAAAGCTCGCTTTTATTAAGCTTGTATTATGTACCCAGAACTACCCTAAGGGCATTATGCATATTAATATTTAAGCTTCACAACCCCATTTTACAGGACAGAAAACTAAATCAGAAAGGGCCTGAACTTTTTGCCCTCGCTAATGCTACCTAATTCTAAAACTAATTCTTTAGGGACAATACGTGTGCCTTTGCCTCCTGTTTGCCGGGAGAATGAGGGAAAGACATGTAGGATTTGTACCCTCCCTACGCCTGGGGACTGCCAATGATGGAAGATCACCAGTCAAGTCAAGGAGTGGACGGTGCATTGGTCTGAGTCTCCCCTAACTGTGGATGCCTGCTTCCAATGGCCCCCTTGATTCCTTCAGCGGATACTACAAGGTCAGCAGCAGAAAAAGGAACCAGAATAGCCATGGCACATTCTAGAAGTCAGTAGCTGCGTCCCACCCAAGCTCAAGCTGGTACTCAGGCTCTGAGCCATGAAGTCCTGGGGGACCCCCACCCCCGTCGCTCTGTGATCCCTCCAATGTACCCCACAACCCCTAGCACATTCCAATCACGAGAAAGGGGTGAAGGGAAATGGGGCGTTCCATTTGCAGTGACGTGGCCACGCTTAGTGTTTATTACAGGCGACCGTGCGTCTGGCTGGGCAGTCCGTTATCATGGATGAAGACTGACTAAGGGTCAATTAGCGATCAATTTCTGCTACAGATACATAGCCTCGCAAATTTAACATTCCCTAAGCCCAGCTCCTCGTTCCTCCAAAACCTGCTCCTCTCCACAGTCATCCCCACATCGCAGTTAGTAGAGGGACATGGGACGAATCCAGCAGTTCCGTCTGAGACACGCTGTGTGTGAGATGCCTGCGGAACATCCGGCATGGATTTCCAACGTGTGTCTGTGAAGTTACTGAGTGAGGCCTGTGTTCCAGACTCCGACTCAATCCCTAAGTGATAGAGACAGAGTATAGGGCCCGGCACAAATAACACAATCCCTTTTGTTAAGTACACAATCTTTTAGTACAAAATCACAAGCATGTCATTCTGTAACACAACAATATCGCACTCAAGCGCCCCCTAGGACATTGTAGGCGAAATGTTCAAGTTGAAACTATAGATGATGACACCCATATTATTACCCTACGCACCACGCTCAAGCAGGCGTTACCTCTGCTGGACGTTGTTTACGTAAACAGTACGGTCAGAGACGGCACAGAGAACCGAGGATGGAGAGCAGAACATTCTGCAAAGGAGACTTGAGGAGGCGCAGCTGGAGACGCAGGAGAGGCTGGAGAAGGCAGGGAACCGGCAGAGGGGAGCAGTTTCTAGGAGCAGTTAGTGGTGCGCCCTGCACATTGGGACGCAGCCTTGAGATTTGGCTGTTCTGCTATTACCTCCATGATTGCAAGCTATGCAGAGAGTACAAACGGGGACGGGGAGGGCAAATGCTACATTTCAGTATCTGAAGAGAGACTTGGGAGGAATGGCAGGTGAGTACAGATAGCTCTTCTGGACGGAAGGAGAGAATTTATGAGCAGGAGGGGCCGCGACAGCAATTCAAGTCTTGAAAACACTCCCCTGCCCCCCCACAAAAAAAAATTAGCTGTAGAACCAAAGAAGGATGGCTCATACTTTAAGACAGGAGGTCGGGGGAGTGCAAATTGAGGTAGATCTGTAGAAATAACGGTGGAGGTGTGAAGTTCATGCTGAAGTGTGTAACGCTGAACAGTGATACAGATAATACTAATATTATTGCTACTATTACTAAGCACTAACATTTACCCAGCACTTACCATATGCCAGGCGATGTTCTTCACTGAGCTAATTTGGCTTCAACAGCCTTTCTTAAATACTGAAAGCTTAGTTTCCCTCAGTAGCTGAGTGGGTAACATTTTGTTGCAACCTAAAAATAGCAACGGTAACTCTTAGCCCACCTTATGGGACCCTTTTCTGTTTCAGAGTTTATTCCTGATCTCTGGGAATGATAGGTTATTTAAAAAATTGGGTGTTTTTTTTTTCCATTTTAATTCATCGGTTGTGACTCATGAAATCTTGAGCTCCAAAGCAGGCCTGTCAACAAAACCACCTCACCAGCAATTTGAGACAAATGTATTTTTTAAAAATTATGAATATTAGAAGGTATGTGTTAGTGAATACCCCCATAATCACTGAAATGCTGGATGATTTTGAAAATGTGCCCACGGTTTTACAGGTGTGAGTTCCTCTTGGACTGTGAGTTGAGGGCAGCAATAGGGATTGTCAATTTTTTATTGTTCCCCAAAGCCGGGCAGAGCTCTGGGTTCATAGTAAAAGTTCAAAGCTTGTTTGAGGCATTAATGCAGTATGCTTAAAAAAAAATAATAAAACTGCTTTCACTTTACACCTGAAATGAGAAAATTATTAGAAACGACTGGGTTTCATTTGAATCAGAAGTATAAAAATTTTACTGCTTAATAGAAACGAAGGCGTTTTTCTGGAAAAACACACGTGAAGAAAAATACGGGTCTAATTTGGGAGAAAATGTTATTCATAAAAACTGGAGATGGAAGACTATTAGTATTGTAAGAATTCCTGACAATATTCGTGCTGGTAATTTTTACCAGCAAACATTTCAAAATTTGAATATGGATAAGGCAAAGAGCACAGGGGGTTCTTGCTTCGTCTGCCACTAGTGTCACTCAAGAATCCCTCTTTAATATTAATGATCTCAAAGGGCTCGTGTATGTCTCCAGATTCCTCCTTGGTCTTCGTACAGAACTCGATAGTCATTCTGACATTTCACTGAGCAGATTTTACTTATTTGTATTCAATTTTTTTGGAACTCAGGGATTTCTGCCACATTTTGATATACCAGGTCATTATAAAATTACATTTCCTTTATTCAATTGTTACTTAAGAGGAAGTATATAGCTAAAAGTATCCTTACATGCTAGATCCTGTTGTAACATGTTGCTCTAATTACTCAGTCATTAAAGATTTTCATTCTCCTTTGCCTATTTTGATAAGAGGTAAAGATAAATCCTTAAAAGACTGCGATTTTAACTGATCTCTGCCATAAAGTGTAACTGCAAAGTGTCCAAATGAGGACCTGTAATGGGGAAATGGTGAAAGAATAAGGAATTGAGTTAAAATTGGACAAGATTTAATACTGTCATTTATCATCAATGGTCCTAGAATAATTCAAATTCCTCTAGCTTATTTTTTATAATTGGTTAACTTCTTATAGTTGGTTACAGTCGGGAGGCCCTGACTCTACTAAATACATTGTATCTATGATTGTTGATTTAAAGGTTGAATAGCAGATGAAGGGGATTTTATCCAGTATTTTACGATGGCCTTATCAGCAAAGTTGCAAGCAGTTAGGACAACGAATTGTTAGTGATTCTCTTATTGCTTTGCTAATAAGTGTGGCAGAGCCATTTAAAAAAAAACCCGTTTAAAGAAAACGGGGACTTTGGGACTAAGTGTGCACGGCTTTAAATGGATTTATTTGCCATCCGGAACAAACTCAGCCTCTCTCCCGTCGAGGTCAGCCGCGAGGCCACGTTCTCTCTGTCCACAACCTGCCGAAGGTCAGACCCGCCGGAGACGCGCTTCCCCTTTGCAAACTGTAACGCGCCATGTGTTGGCAGGGGCCTGGCCCCATGACCTTGGTCCCCTGTAGGCAGGCCAGCGCTCTCGGGCTGCCTCTGCCCTGTTTACAAAGGCACCGGGGAAAGGGTGGGGGTCGGAGACCTAGAGTCCGGGGTGCTCTGCCCGCAGCGGGCTCAGGGCCACCCAAGACCCCCTAGGCACACTTTCGACCCAATTCGTCCCCCAGCAAAATGGGGAGCGACCACGTTTTGGCACGCTCCTCGGTTGGGAAGAGCGGGGCCCCCACCGACACTCCTACAGGGTTCCAGGGGGTTTCCGGGGCCCGCTCGCCTCTTTCTGCTGGGCGACGGACAGCAGAGGATACCGGGAGGCACTGCCCCCTCCGCCCGGCGCCAAGATGGCGACCGATCCTGGTGGGACTCCGAGAGCAACGAGCCACTTCCCCTTCCCAACGCCCCCTGCGCTGGCGACGACGGCGATCGGGAGGGGGGCGGGGTCGCTCAGGGGGCGGGGCCGAGCTCTGCGTGCCCCGTCCCCGCCCGAAGCCGTCGCCGGGCCCGTGGCGCGCGCTGCCTGCCGGGATACTCGGCCCGCCCTCCAGTGCTCCCGGCTTTCGCCGCGGTCGCGAGATCCGCGTTTTTCCCCAAGATGGTGGCACTGGGCTCGGGGTGACTGCAGGAGACGACAGAACCTGAATCCCCCCCTGGCCGGAAGCTCGACACACCGCCCTCCTCTCCCTCGCGCGCTCCGCCGCCCCCGCTTGTGCGTCACCTCTGCCGACCCGGCGCTCACGGCCGCGGGCGGCGGCGCCTCCCTCGGCTCCTCCTCGGGGCCGCGCTCGGAGCAGCTCGCAGCCCAGCCGCGGCCAGGCGGGCCCCGCAGCCCCCTGGTGTGGACAGGCAGCGTCGAAGCGGCGGCTGGCGACGAGCTCGGGGTGTTGTGCGGCCCCGGCGCCCCCTTTCCCGGCCTCGGTCTCCGGAGAAGGAAGCGCGGGTCCCGCATGAGCGCCGGCGGTGGCGGCAACGAAAGGGAACGAGGCGGTGGCGGGCGGAGGCGGCGGGCGAGGGCGACGACGACCAGTGAGGCGGCCGCTGCTGCGAGGGCCGCAGCCCAGGCGCGGGGGCGACGACAGGTCGGTGTGGCCGAAGCCGGGGCCTGGGCTGGGGTCCCCGGGTGGCAGCTCCTTGGGGCCCTGCTGTCGCCCCAGCCGCCCGCGGGGCCGGCTCCAGCGAGGGCAGGGACGCCCCCATCCCCGGGGGGCGCGTGGGGTGGAGGGGCCGGTGCCAGCAGCAGGCCCCGGTGGCCGCGGCTGCCGCCGCCGTAACTGTCAGTGCTGCTGTGCGCCGGCGGGAGGGCTGGGCCGCCGGGGGACGCGAGCGGGCCCGGGGGCGGGCGGGCGCCGCGGTGGCCCTTCGCGGAGCCGCGGTCGCGGGCCGGGCCTGGGCCCAGCCCGGGAAGGGCCGCTTGCTCTCGGTGGTTGGCGGGTTTGGGGGGGAAATGTTCAGATGGGGGCCGGGGTGGGTTGGGGTTTAGGGCGTGACTGGTGGAGAGGGAGCGCGGACGGAGTGATAAATGGAAGCCCAGGGCTGTGTTCGCAGATTACCCACGGGTTCTGAAAGGAAGCGGGAGCCCTGGGGTTGGCCGGACGCTCTGCCCGGTGCAAGCTTGCAAACGGGGCGCCGGTCTCGCCCCCGCCCCCACCCCCTCATTTTCAGTAGAGAACATAAAAAGGACTCTCCTCGTCGTGGGGTACAGGGTTTTGTTGGTCAAGTCAGGATTGAATGTGGCAAATGCTTGCGTCCGTAACATTGTTAAAGATAGTGTAATACAGACCTTGTTTGATTAAGATTAGAATCCTCGAAAGAGAATTAAGTGTCTGAATTTTTAAGGACGTCCTAGGGGCTTACTGAAATAGATTCGTTACAGAGTTTGTTTAGGGTTGTATTTATTAAGTGGCTAGGGTGCTGGTGAAAATGTAAACTCATAGCACGTATTTACATTTATAAGTTACCCTCCGTGATGAAGCAGTGTGACTAAGATCCGTAATTTTTAATCGTCGCACTGCTTGCAGAATTGAGAGAAGCAGCAAATTCCTACAGAATTTTGGGGAGAAGGAAAAGGGCTTTGAATGGAAATGACCTGAAGTTTAGAAGTACAGCTTTTAGAAAGTTAGGTTTCAAAGACACTAGGCAACCAAAAAATTGTCGAAGGAATTGGACAAACAGGATGAGAAGCGAGTATCCTTCCTGAAGAGATTTTGTAAGCCATGTCAAAAAGTTTAGAATTCAGGGAGAAAAAAATAAAGTTTTGTTGTGAGTATAATGTTGTAATTAGATCCTGCTTGTAAATCTGAGCTACTTTCCTTTTTTTGATGACATGAATACAGTATCAGTAATGATGCTGATAAACCCAAAGGATAGCTAGAAGCCCTTTATGAAACTAATAATCACAGCAAAACAAAAATAAGAAATAGATTTAAAAATTATTACTGTTTGCAAAATTAGGTCGTAAAGTAAGCAGATCTTACTGTGTCAGTATTAGCTAACTAGCATCAGTGTGCTAATTAATATGTACACAGCCTCTGCACACTGGAGAGTGTAGCTTTATGCAATGATACAAATTAGAGTGTTTGATTCCTTTTCAGAGGTTTTGTGATTCCTTTTCAGAGGTTTTGTAGGCTGCTGCTGCTTTTAATGGCTTAAGAAGTAACTTCAGTGAGGGTACTTCCTCCTCAGAAGTGTGAGGAAGACACATTCTCCTCCCACTTTCTAGTCCGTGTAACAAGGTTCACTGGGCACCTGCAGTGTCTTTGACGTGTAGTATTTAATCAGCTGTATTTCTTAAACGCGTTTCTAAATGACCGTTCGTCTCTCCCCTCCAAAAATGTCCTCTGTCTCTTCAAAATAAATAATAATTTGTTATTTCTCTCAATATGCAGTCAGTGGAATAATCCAAAACTGTGGATCATAGCTGAATTCCTCAACCTGAGCACTTGAAATGATATTTACAAATGTCCGTTTCTGAAATGATTGCTCGTTATGTTCTTCAGTCATGTTAGTGTTGTTTAGATCTATCCTTGCATAAGGTAGAAACAGTACATGTGCAGCTGTTAAAAATTAGTTTTCTGATTTTTATGACTGAAGATAAGTTTTCACAAGTGATTATTATTCAGGTTGAATACTTGGGCGAAGCTTAGATGCTTGTTTCATGATGCTTTGTGACAACAGAGTTTTGGCCGATTTTGATAGCTCCCACTGCAAATGTGAAGATAAAATATAAAAATGACAGGCATGTGCGGTGCTTATAGTGGGAATAGCTTTGGAATTAGCTATTGCTTTCAGCTCTGCCCTTATTCAACTTTTTGACCCTTGACAAGTTACTCAGTCTTGGTGAGCTGCAGTTTTTCCACCTGTGAAATGGGATGATAAAACGAATTCAGAGTTGTCTTGAGGAGTCAAGTGTGTAAAACACCCGACACAGAGGCGCTTAATGAGCATGATCATCCTGCGAAGTCTCCCTGCTCAGGTTTTCTGAATGATCTCAAACCACCCGCTGTGCGTGGTAACACGTTGCCCTTCACCTTGCTCTCTTTCTGACTAGCCCTGAACGCATTCTATAAGGGCAAGGACTCCTGGTGTTTACAGGAGAGTGTGTTACCAGAGTACAGATGACTCAGTTACCAGTAAATCAGTAATGGTCAAATACCATTTATTAGGTACGTTCTGTATGAGCTGAGCTAAAGGGCAACAACCATGAGGATCTCTGTCTTTTGGAAGCTTCTAGTGACTTTTTTCACATAACGCCATTTTTCGTGAAGCCCTGTCACGTAAGGGAGCCTCTTTCTCCCCGGCCCTTCCTGTCCCTGGCTCCCCCCCAGCTGCTGTCCTGAAGAGATTGTTTCACTCCTTTCTTCATACAACTGCCTGGCACATGCCAGACACTTTGTATCTTAATATCTCTGTCCCAGTCTCCCACCCCATGTCTGGCATTGTGTGTGTGTGTGCGCGCGCGCGCGTGTGTAAAATTAAAAATCAATTTGACAGTTGTCTGTAAATACTCTATTTTTCTGAGGTTCAGGGATCATCCTGTCTTTTGATCATGGATTCATAGAGCTTGGGAAACCGAGCAGGACTGTCCTTGAGATCAGTCAGTCGCCCCCTTCCTTTCACGCACGTGGAAATTGAAGTGCAGAGCTTCTAGATGGTTTTCCCCAAGTCACCCAGAGGGCTGAGCCAGAGCCACGGCCTGCATCTCTGGACTCTGCATGCAGAGGGCGCAGGCCCTGTCCTGCCTGTGGGGAGGAGGAGCCGGTGTGCCCAGTCACGCTCGGGGACATCCGCGGTCCCTGCCCGTGTGAGAGAAGGCAGCCGTCACAAGGTGCCGTCAGTGCACCTTTTTTGACCATAACAGTCAGTGCAGGGAAGAGGGCTTTCTTTTCTGATCCGGGAAATGAAGTAAAATTACAGTACACATAGTGTCATCTAGAAACTCATATTCTATGTCCAAAACATGAGGTCTTTGGAACACTTAAAGATGCTATGTGAATGATTTTTAAATAAGTTTGCTTATTAACCCATACATAATGAATTTCTTTGCCAGCTTTCATTTTCGTTTAATGTCAGAACAAGTAAATACCATTATGCATGATAAATCAAGAGGATTTTTAAGGTTAAAGCCTATCTGAGAATAAAATAAAGCTAGTATCTTTTTTTTTTTTTTATATACCGTTATTTGCACATGAGGTTTGGGTGACAGTTATCACTCTTGGATTTTAAACCTTGTGACTGAACTCCCTAAGATTATGTATAAAATTTTAAGTGCTTCAGAGCATTAAGAGGTTCAGTGAACAAAAGCCACCGAGAGCCATTAGTGTGGAGGTGTCAAGAGACTGGGGGTTCATCCTTCCTGTTGAGCTTCCACTGGGTGACAAGCATGTGTTTTAGCTTTCTTAGCCTTTGTTCTGCTCCTCCGTCACACAGTGGGGTGACTTGCTTTGTCTGTTTCAGAGGGTTATGTTATTCAGGTGTGATCATTCTTTAAAAAAAAAGATTTTATTTATTTTTAGAAGGGAAAGGAGAGAGAGAGAGAGAGAGACAGACAGACATCAGTGTGTGGTTGCCTCTCGTACCCTCCCCTACTGGGGACCTGGCCTGCAACCCAGGCATGTGCCCTGACTGGGAATTGAACCAGCAACCCCTTGCTTCACAGACCGGCGCTCAATCCACTGAGCCACACCAGCCGGGGCCAAATGTGATCATTCTTGAAAAAATGGATTAAAACCAATGTAGAGATTTGTCCAAGAAAACAAGTTGGTTAGTGGTACACAGGTGATTGGAACCTTGGTATATTTTCATGGTATATTTCTCCATTAGCATTTTTTAACCTTTTAATAGAGAAGTGTTTGAGGAAATATTTCACGTGTGTTTATTTTATTTTAAAGTGGATAACTCCGTTTGAAATAAACAGCAGATTTCAGTAGTTGGTGGTGCATTATTCAGTATTGTTAATCCAGAGTCAGATCCCTTCTGTGACTGGCTTTGCTTTTGACCCCTCCTGTTAATTTGGTAAATGCCAAGTGAATGCCAAGTGAAGTTTGACCTGAAAGGGAAAGAGGTTTTGGAGGTGTAGAATCTGTGAGATAAGATTATTTCAGAGGTTCCATTGTAGAAAGTCTGCTGGAACCTCACACAAGACATTGCATGTGGATCACCAAAGAGAATCATATGTAAGACATTGTTGATTCAGGCCAGCCCTGGGCTGCACATGTGGGGGCAGCGTGTAAGCCCTGAGCACTTACCATGTGAAACTCTGGGCGGACCAGTGCGCGGTCTGAGGTGGCTGGTGACCCTTAACAGCTCACTGTTCCAGAAGTTGACCTTCTGTACCTCCCAGATCCATTAAAGTTAGTCAGGCACATATAGATCCCTTGATGTTACAGAAACAAAATGTGAAAGATTTTTCTTGACCTCTTTGTGATATGCAGGCTTATAGCTCTTTCTTAGTTCTTGAGTGCCCACTGTGTATACTTCCAGTAATTCAAGATGTTCCTTTTCACACAAATGGTGTCATTGGGGGCTGCATGAAGATGTTCCCGGGAGTGTTCCTTTCATTGGATGACTTGGGTCTCCATGA